TACCGTTATCGGGAGGTATGACTTAATGCTGTCTTTGTTTCTTTTGCCTTTATATATTAGTCTCATTTTACTCCGTTTCCAATCATTGGGTACCTCACCTCCCATAATTCATTGGTTAATCACATGCCGTTAACTTCAATTTGCTTTTTTTTCTTAGTGTCTTTATGAGTTCCATGGGTATGTTGTCTGGGCCTGTCACTGTACCTGCTGGAACCTTACTTTCTGCCTTGTCCCATGCTTTTGTAGTCGTCTCCATCGTTACACAATTCTGTTCCTCCTCAACACTGCTGCTGACCGTGCTGTTCACTGTCTCCCTCTGCCCAAGCTGGAAGAAAGCCTCTTCAATTATCTGCCTAATATATTCACGGGCCTCTTCCCCTCTACTCTTCTCCCCTCCTGTGCGGCCAGTAAGTGTTGGATACCCTCTATCTTTCTCCCCTGCGCTTTAATGTGCTCCGAAAACCCTTTTGCCGCATTCCTATCTTTTTTATTTACTTCCACCATCCACTGCACTCCTGAACTTCCAATGTTGGTCTGTATTAAGGCTGATGCTTCCCTTTTCCGCTCTTTGAAGTTCTCCCATTTTGAAGTTATTTCAGCTGGCAAGGCTCCCTTTTTTTCCCACCTATGCTTCCTAGATGCACCTTGGCGCCGCAATAAGGCTGCTTTGACCTTCATATCCCACCAGCTTTTTGGTTTGTGTCTTCGTTTTTGCTTTCCTCTTTGTTTAATCTGATGCTTCTCTAATTTTCTTTTAAAAGTTCCTATTAGATCCTCATACGTCCACTCTCTGGTTGTTCCGATACTATGTTCTCAATGCCTTTTGTATTTGAGCTTTGCTTAGTTTAGGTTTACCCGCTCGTTTCTGGGCTTGTTCTGGTTTGAATGCGCCAAATGTAATCTTAATGCATTTGTGGTTACTCCCTAAGCTGTTTGTTCCTTCCTCATCTATTTCCATACTTCCTAACCTGTCATATAATTTGTGGGACATGAGGCAGTAGTCTATAGTTGAGTGTGAGTTGTTTCGTTCCCGTTATTTTGCCGTTGCATTTTACTGTACTTGTGCATTAACTAACACTAGGTCCAGGGCCTTACAGAAATCATTTAGCAGCTTTCCAGTTGTATCTGTGAATCCGTCAAACTCTTCTAAGTGGGCATTCATGTCTCCTATAATAATTAATTCCTGATTAAGACCAATTTCTCTGATATCCCTCGATATACATTAAAAGTGTTCTGTATTTTCCTCCCTTGAGTCATTTCCTCTTTTTAGGTATGAAAACCCTAGAAGGGTGTTTAGATCTGTTATCCTAACTTTCAGCCATAAATGTTATTTGCAGCTTTCCTTCTCTCTTTTCCGGTCTTGTCCTATAACCAGACCTCCGCCTTTGCGTTCACCTCCCTTCCGGTTGCATCCCATCCAGGAGTAGCCTGCTATGTACGGTGATTCCTCATCTCTAAGGTGCGTTTCTCCAATCCCATACACTATAAAATTTTCAGCCTTTAATTGTTCAGCAATCGCCTCCCACTTTATTCTGTTTCTACCTCCCTGTATGTTTATGAACCCTATCTTGAGCAGATTTTTTCTCTTACTTCTACGGGGCTTCCTCTTGCTCTCCCTGCTGCTCTTACGGTACTCGCACCTAGGAGCTTCCTCCGACTCTGGTACCGATACATAGGGTACTGGTACATCTACACCGGTGCCCTCCGGGCTCTGTGGGTTTCCAAAAAAGCTGCAACATGCCGAACCCCGCCTCTCTCCCACTCTACTATCTGTGTCTTGTGGGATTTCCCTTGCTGCTACCCGTCTCGGTGAATGACACAGCCAACCGGTTCAACAACACGTAAACATTTAATGACTGCTATCGCCTGCGCCGCAATCCCAACAGCCCCCGCGCTTACGCTGCTACGACCCTTTATCAGCGGCGGAGCGCCGCTCGCGTGGCCAGTTGCCCTTGACGCCCTCGCGGTGAAGATAACCGCCCATGATTGTCGGAGAGGCAACCTGTGCCAAACGCTTAGAATCCCCAGGTTGCCCACAGTCTGGACTGTAGGGGGTTCCACCCCGTGTGAAAGGGCAGGAGCCAGCCGCAGAAACTTACCAGTTTATCTCTTTTACGCCGTACTCAAGCCGTCGACTCATTCCCTTAATCACCCGGTTAGCCTCAATGACCCGCCTCTCGATGTCAGGAGACTGTCCCAGACAGGTGAGATAGTGCATATTTCCACATGCAGCCTCTCACTGACCGCTCTTATTTACCCAGTCCTGCCTCTATTTGTTTTCCCAGGTTCTAGCTCCTCCCGTTTAACACGTCCTTGAGTTCTGCGTAAATCAACACTAGGTTTTCTCCCTCCATGTTGTCCCACAACACCTCCTCTGCTTTGGCAATGACATCTACCATGTGTTTTCCTGGCTGGGCCTCTACTCGCACCCTCTTGTCCTCTTTCACCTTGCCTTGCATTCCCTCTACGATCCTTGCCACGTTGGAGTCTCCCACTACTAGGACTCTCTTACCAGTCGACGGCTGCTTTCCTTCTCCTGGCACTACGCTGCTACCACCTCCATTTACCACCGGTAGCAGGTTCGGCCTTACCAATCCAGCCGTTTTCTTTTTCTTTTGATGGTTTCACTATAGGAGCCTCATTCGTGCCAGAACTGCTCGCTCCCTGCTTTCTGGCCCCTTGAACCATAGGCACTATTGTTGCTGTCGACTCCCTCTTCATCTCTCCCCACTGTGCTTGTAGGTCGACCTTCTTCTCGACCTCTACTCTGAGGATGCCCTGTAATTCTGCCATCATTGCTTGTCCTTCCTCGTTCTTCCCCTTCTCTTCTATAATTACACCGATGACGCGCTACACTCTATCCTCGCACTCCTTTGTTCTCTCTTCTAGCCCTGCCTTCCACGCATCCCACTATCTGAGCTCCTCCACCTGCTTCTCAATTTCTGCCCGCTTCTCCCTTTCCTCGTTAAGCTCAGCCTGCCATTTCACTTCGAGCTCCCCCCTCTTCAACTCAGTGACCTGTGTCTTGAGCAGGACCCACATTTCCCGCTCTTCCTTCCGTTCCACCTTTATCTCTTCGAATTTATCCTTCCACTCTCGTTCTAGCCTACTCAAGCCTTCCTCAATCTTCTCACAAAGTCGGCAAGCAAAGGTACTTTTCTCTGCTTCAGCTACGCTCTCACGTCAGTTTCTTCTAAGTAGCACCACTGCTTGCACTATCCGCACTCCATGTTCAGGTCCCCCTTGATCTTCTCTTTTCTGCTCATCGCCTAGCTACTCAAAAAAACCGGCGCGTCAATCACAAAAAAAAATCCCCCCAAAATTTACACAGACCTTCTCATAGTGCACTACTAAAGAGGCGTCAAGCTGAATATGGGTGACTCCACATAAATAAAATAAAATTAAAATAAATAAAATCATTATCATTGCAGGCCAGGTTATTGCCAATTTAGATTCCACTGTGTTGTTCTACCCAGCACTGGCCTTTCTGGAGGCTCGTCAACGTCGCCCGTTTTAGTGGCTCTGTATCTCGGTAAGACAAGAGAGGGCCTGCAACGACGGTCGTAATCTGGCACCTGTTTAAATCGTCTTTACGAAAGGAACCTTGTAAATATTGGGTAAAAAGCTCAATCTGCTCTCAGACGCCGCTGACTCGGATCGGGATAAACGTCATGATCAATGTACCAGTGAAGATGTTTTTTCTTCGTGCTAAGACATTGTCAGGGTTGCAGTTTTTGTTCTATAAGCCCCCCAGACCACAATGATTGGTGCTCTGTGTCCATTGTGACGCATTGAGCTCTTTTCACAGACAGCTTGAGTAACGCGGTGCGGGACATCTAATGGTCTTGTTTCTTGCTTCGCGATTCATTCTTCGGTGTTCTTATCGGGTAATACCACAATCTCGTTCACTGCGGAGCGATAATAAATACTAGGAACTCAATTCGCCCTGATATTCTTAGGCTGTCAATGACTACAGTTTATATTTATTCGCGACGTCCTATTTCGGAATATTTCAGTGTAAACAGGCCGCGACGTTCATTTGGCGCACCCGTCAGCATTCGTCCAAACCAGGCATGGAGCCCGCGGCTTAGATTTTAGTCTGAAAGCATCTTGACAAAACGGTGGACATTGAAGACTGTGGCGGAGCGTAGTGGTAGCAACAAAAGTTTCTGTTTATTGATGACACCCATATTTATTTTAATTTATTTCTCCTTAAGGGTCCGATGGGGCATTACATAAGGCCTTTCTGGAGGCTTGGGGAACATAAAGAACAAAATACAAAATTTTAAACAGAAAAAACAAAGTTAAAACAAAAGTAGGATAGAAGCAATAGTAACAAAAAGCCCTACAGTGACAACCTGGTAGGACAGTGGTGGTATAGCAGATGTGCAAGGTGACCGGCTGGCGGAAAATGGGTGGGTCTGAAATAAGTACCATTTCCTCGGGGAGGAAATTCCAGATGGTTATAGGTTGTGGAAAAATTGAGGTATTAAAGGCTAATGTTTTGCCTGTAATATGTTTGATGCACTGAATGTGATTGAGGCGAGATGATATCCCATCTGAAGGCAAAAGAAGGGTGTCATATGGACTTCTGTTTTTGTGATAAAACAATTTATGTATACGCTTATTCGAGAAGTTATTCCGCGGTCAGATAGTAATGGAATATCTAGGGTTCGTTTAAGTTTTGTTACACTGACGGCGTAGGAATATGTTGATGTAATAAATCGAGCTGAACGCTTTTGAATTGCTTCAAGGTTATCCGCGAGGCAGGCTTCTGAAGAATGCCAGAAGGACGATGCATATTCTAGTTTTGGAAGGGCAAACGTAATGTGGGCCAGTTTTCTCAGGTCAGAGGGTGCTGATTTCAGATGGCGTTCTAAGTATGCCAGGGTGCATGATGCTTCGACTCTAACAATGTCGAATTGCTGAATCCATGAGAGTGAAGGAGCAGATTTACCGCAATAAAGCCCCCGCGTTCCGCTTGTTCGCGCTTCCCGTAGGTGGTGAATTCGGCGCTCTTCTGGAGGCAGCAGTTCTACGCAGTGAGCGGCCCGACCTGGGACGATCAGCCGCCGTTCCGTTGGAGCACGTCGGGGTTCAACAACGTCTGCCACGTGGGACACCCGGACCTCTGGAACTTCAAGCCTGTCTTGGCACGCTGGGCGTTATGAAGGCCCAACTGCAAGAGTTCAGCCGTTTTTACAACTGTTTTCTTGTTCAGTCGTGTCACGTATAATGAGAATAAACTGGATATGTTTGCAGTTGATTACTAATACCAGTAATCCTTTATTTAATATAAACTAAATCTAATACCGTGGGAATTCTACACTCTAACAAAACTGTAGCGCCTATACTTTTCAGCAACGCACTAAGGAGAGCCAATCGCTGCAATCAACATAGGGAGCTCGGTGTACAAAAAAGTGGACCCTTTGCCGTACTAGCGTGGCAAAGGCTGCGGTAACGCAGGTTGTGATGTGCTAGTGAGAAAACCTGTGTACACATGTGAAGACATGGATCGGGTGAAGCGGCCCTGTGTCGATGAAAGTAAGCGCGCTAGCGCTGTGGGAGACATTTTCTGCGGTTGCAGTAGAAATGCCACTTTTTCAGAGCCTGGTGTTAGAGGAGTATAACATAGAGGACGAGAACCGGACGACACGTTTCTCCAACTCGCAGCGTACATTTGTTTTGACATCCGTCACCAGACGCGACAGTCGCCGCGCAAAGTTGGAAGCGTTGAGGAGGATATGAAAGGAAGGGAGGGTGGGGGTGGAGAGAGGGTGTAGGTGGAGTGAAAGAGAAAAAAAAAGAGGGCATAATAAGGGATGTTACCTTGAGGCGGGAATAAAGGGTGGGCGCCCTTACTTCAAAAGCGCCTACGTTTGTCGCATTTCCGCACGTAGAAAGGAAGTGTCGGAGAGATAAAGCGGTGGGGGCCCAATGTTTTGCGGCGAATGGCGCATGGCGAAGGCTTCGATAATCTCGCAGCCGTATCTCGACCTGTGTGTTCCAACAGTGGTAGCGGCTGTAGCTGAAATCTCTGAGGCCAGATTCATAAGAAACCTCTTACCTACGACATCTTAGCTACGATGTTCGTAAAGTTACGATCATCGTAAGATGAGGCAAGAACGGTATTCACAAACGCGTTCTTAAGTGAGAGGAGGAAAGGTACGACCGGTTACGACCGCTTACGGAAAAACGACGACTTCCGGTGTCTCGCCTTTTCCCAAATAGCGCGAGAGCTTGTTGTTGCTATGGCGACGGCGTCTTCGGTGACTCCAACAACCAATGAGCGTAGTTTCAAACACGTGCGCGTGTTTACAACGCCTAGAACAATACACGTGCGCGTGAATATGTCGGAAACGGAGTGTAAAAAAGTGTGAATGCCAAATTTCTCGGAAGCGGAGATTACCGCTTTGGTCGACGGTTACGAAGACCACAAGCTAGCCATTGAGGCAAAAACAAGTGGCCCGCACGGCTCGTTAGCCAAGCAGCGAGCGTGGGCTATTATTAGCGTGTCGCTGTTCGCGGTCTCCGGAGTCCGGAGGAGAGTCAACGAAGTAAAAAGAAGTGGACGGATTACAAGAGCGCAAATAAAATCCGCGGTAAGGCTTGGTAGATTCTCTACTCAGTTAAACAATTTGAGTGTAGACCTCCACGTGATTTACCATCTTGTTGCAATGTATAGGCGCTGCAGTCCGGCGCAGCCAGAATGCGACAGGTGGTGGCCCGGGAGAGCCGGAGCTAACAGACGCCGAGGAGCGGGTGATCGGCCTCCTCAGCGAAGCCTCCCTAGAAGGAATCGAAGGAGCCTTCGACATCGAAGCACGGCAGTTGGGTAAGTGCGAAATGTTCAGCAATGCGCAAGGTGCCCCCCCCCCCCCCCCCAGCACACACTGGGAGGTTTCACTATGTGGATGATGTCGAACGTGTATTGCTAGCACTAGAAACATGAAAGGCTCACTGAAAAACTGAGCGATTCTTCCTTTTCAATTTTCTAGAGCGTCACGAACAGACCCAAGCAGCTGCCGATCGCGATTTAGAGATCTCCCCCGATTGTAAGTTCACGATATCTCAATGTTCTTATAAATTCGTGAAAATATTACATTGTATTTTCAGTTTCCGTCACAGGTCCGGGCGCTGGATCCAGCACTGCACCACACCGAAGTTGGTCGGTGCACTCAAGGTCAGTTTTTATCTTTATCAACTAGTTAAAGTGCTTCATATACAGCTGCAGTTAAATTACAAGTGCTTTATTTTTCTGTCCCAGTCCTAGTACCTCGGAGGGCATGCTGTGCAACCAGAGTGAGTATTATGAACAACGCTATGGGTATTCTTGTACGAGTGTTTACATTCGGCATCTGAAATATTTAGTAGCATGTTTCACGTCTTGCCCATGTACAGAAAATGAAAACAATTTGTCAAAGTTGTCACTCAACTGTCGAACCCTGTTCCAGTTATCCAAAACCCGAGTTTGCAACGAAAAATTTTGGGTTTAGCCGCACCACTGCGACTACACAGCCAATTAAATTTCGGACAAGCATCACGACATGCCAGGAAACCTTAGATTGCTGGGGCACACGGTGCACACCCTTACTTGGGTCAGGGATTCCGTAAGGAGGATCGGTGGCCTGGTATGTTAGTGTTCCGCAGCTCCAAGCACGCATTCAAAATCCAGGGATTCTGTTTTCATTCCATATTTGTGCCAGCTTCAACCTCGATTAAGATCGTATCGGCGTGCTGTCGGACATCACTACTCCACGATACATGTAGACTTTAGGCTAGCAGTCATACTGCGCTGGCCAAATTCCTCATCTCCAGCATAACCAACAGTATTGTACACCAGCCTGACCTCATACATTAACATCTGTTTTGCTTCTGATGCCACCTAATTTCATTCACACACATTGTACGATGATTGCGTCGTTTTGTTGGCCGTGTCGGGCACTTTAGCCATCACAGAGTAGTCTGTAAGCATGAAGCGCCACATATTTTATTCATTAGGTGGAGGTGCAGTTGCAGAAGCCGTGACTTCACAACCCTCAGTAGCACGGCCTGCATTAGCGCGGCCTGCGTTGGCCCGGCCTGCAACACCAGGGCCTGCAACACCACGGCCTGCATCAGCACGGCCTGCATCAGCACAGCCTGCACCTGCACGGCCTGCAGCAGTAAGGGCTGCAGCAGCAAGGGCTGCTGATGAGATAGCTGCCAGCACACCCCCAACAGTTTGACGGAGTGAGTATACTTAAAACACATATTTAACATGATTATACATTCTTGCATTGTTGTTTTTAGACTAACGCTTTTGCTGTGCGTCACTTTTTGAGGAGCTTCTGAACGTCCAACACTTCCACTAGAACCTGTGACATCACTGGAAGACCTCTAAACTACACAGACGACATTCAAAAGCTCTCTGACATGGTTGCTAACACCTGTATTATTCAATGTCTAAAGTGCGAATGACAATGGTTATGTCACACATCCACGCAACATGTAGCAGTACAAACTATGATTGCAGCAAAGAAAACTGGATGATTATTTGTGCTCTATGCTTTCAATCCTGAACAGGACCACGCTTCAAAGCTGACAAATTTATTTTCAGAAATACTTCAAAACAAAAACCTAGAGGGGATATTTATGTACAGGCACTTTTCACGTCACATGAAAAAAAAAACATTTAAATAAAAATTAAAGTTCATCATTTTGAGCTAGTATTTTGAGGATCTCTGGCACATGTGTGTATACATATCCCATAGCCGATTTAAAAAATAACAGATCATTACTCCACCAATTCAGGCGACAACAAAGATGTGGGACATGAGATCCTGCAGACGCAGGTGGCGATCCTGGAGCGGCTCGATGCACTGGTTGCAGCGCAGCAGGGCATACTAGCGGCGTAGCAGGGCATGCTAGCGGCGCAGCAACAGTTAGTGGACCTAAAGACAGAGAAATATGGAGTGCAATTCGTTAACGCTCCTGTTTTTCCTGAATAAACCTATATATTTTGCCCCATTTCAACATCTGTTGACCAACAATAAAGGTACTGGCCAAGTAAGTGTCCAAGAAAAGCATGTGACAACACTTCATTGCAGTAAACTCTATTGGAGCATTCTGACATGCTTGTCTCCAGCACCTTTACTTGCTCCTTGTGGAAGAGTAGTTTTAAGTAAAAGCGTAGAGAACAACTGAACTTCTTGCAGCCGCACCCACCACCATGGGTCATGCCCTTTTAGTTCTTGGTGCTGGTGCGGGTGTCTCCTCCTCCTCCTCCTCTTCTTCTTTTTCTTCATCATCAGACAGGTCAACTGTATACACAAGAGAATAGTCATTACAGCACTTTCCCACTCATAAAAATTTAAGGCAGAAAATGCCAATTGTATATGGTGACTGCTACCTGCTAGCTTGTACAGAACTTGTAAGCTAAAGGTGGTTAGCAAGAAACAAATGTCTTCCAATTATTCTCCCGAGAAAGCTCTGATAGCTTGCTTACTGCAAAAAAACGTTTTCATTGCACAAAAAAGAAATAGGTCCGGTGATACAAATTATTTCATTGACTTACGCCAATTGTTCACATGTAAGGTAGATTTTCGGAGAGCTAAGAGTGTCAGGTGAACAGATGCCGTCCAATACATAAAGAGATTGTGAAAAAACGGCCACCAAAAAGCAACCTTGTAATAGCCTACTTCAATAAACCCCTGCATGTGACACTGCGTTCTGGCAGCGAGTTGGCCATGGAATGAGGTGCCAGGGCTTCGGTTTCGATCTACGAGCCCTCAAAGTTATTGCGACCGTATGTGTAAAATATGGCAGTGCATTTGGTCACGACGTGATGACGGAACTGAGGTTGAGCAACTGAAAACCAAAATGCGCTGCGTAATGCCTTTCCATTAGGGGCACTTCCACTCTGGAAAAGGTCTATTACGTTACCTAGTGGTTCATTGAGAGACACGTGGTGGCGCATAGAGTAATTGTCAAGAACCACACAGGCCTGAATAATCTTCCAGCAGATCTTGGGTCGGTATTGTAGGAAGCCTCCAGACTTGTCCAGGCACTTGAAGCGGGAATTCAGGAGCCCGAACATCCGCTCGATGACTTGTCTGGTCTTCGTCAGGGCCTCATTGTAGTCCAACTCTGGTTGGTCCTTGGGTGCTCAAATTGGGGTCATGAGCCACGG